TCTGTCAGGCGTCCATGGCTGCTCTGATCCTTTCCCCGCTTGGCCCCACACAAAATGGCGGCTCCTGGAGCAGCTGAGCGTCCCGAACCAGGAAGCAATGGATTTCTTGCTTCTGCCACAAACTCACCAGCTGTAAGTCTTCCAACCTTCTAAATATACCTTTATATGTGGTTCAGAGTACTGGGACCATTCCCTGAGCCTTCTTGGTCCTGTATTCTGTGTTGTTCTCGGCAGAGCTCGTCACTACACTTCCACCCAATCCACCATCTTTTTCCAGAAGCCTCTTTTGGTAAAGTCTTTTGATGAACAAAAATTTTTAACATTCACTTTTATTTTGCCTTTTGCACGTTGTGCTCTTGTTATTTATTAGGTGATCCATTAAGCTAGGAGTGACATTATTTTTGGCCCTGCTTGTTCTTCTAAGAACCTATCCAAGTATTTCATATGTAACAGGATATCAATAAGTATTTGTTGACCAATTGCCTAAATTAGTCATGGTATCCTATGTATATCCTGTCTTGAATAACTTTTTGGTTTTAAAGAGCTAAGCACTTCACTTTTAATGATTTGGAATATTTCTAAATTGAAACAATGCCCGGGGAACGTTTCTTTGCTTAAACCTTCCATTTTACTTATTTTTGCAGGTGCACAGTTGTGGAGAAGCCTCAGCGAAAGGTAGGAAGCGCTCTTTCCACCTTTCCCTAATGGAGGGTAGGGTGCAGAGTGGCATCTGAGCCACTGAGATGTAGCTATGATCTATTCTTTTACTGATAGGACCCAAATCCTAATGTTTTGTAAAAGTGGGGAAATAAAAATACGACAGAATTGAGGACAAACCTAAATTTGAGATTCATTCTAAGAAACTCTTGGTGTCTTGTCATGTAAGTGGACAACATAAGTTTGTGTACATCGTCATTTGTGAGGACTTAGAAGTGATAGGAGGGGGAGGGTTTTTTTTTTTTTCTTTTTTACTTGTGGTTTCCTTTTGGACTTCAGTTTGGGGCGTAGTCATTCTGTTAGTAGGAGAAGACCAAGGCAATGCTGAAGTCATTAGACTATTCCTGGAAGAATTAACGGAGTTGTAAGTACAGAGAACTCGGTGTGGGGGAGGGAAAGAGAAGGGAGAGGTGGTAAGCATGACAGTGCATAAATGTTGACAGTCCTCTGCTCTCCCTCCTGGCCCAGCCTGGGCAAACTCAACCCCTATTTCATCTAATGTCCTCCATCCTGAATGCAAAGTGCTATTCTCAAATGGAAAAAGAAATATGGCGGGCAGTTTACCAAGGGGACAAAATTCACTACGTCAGATGCCTTACTAAAAGTGGGGAAATGAAAAAAATGAGAAACTTTATATTCTGCTCAGATTCTTTTCTTTTTCATTCTACCTTAAAAATATCTTTGTAATACAAGAGAATGATTAGGGTACTTGGTTTATATTAATTTGGATATGGTGAAATGATATTCTCAAAGCAGCACAACATAATTTCATTAAAAACCCTAGTTTTAAAAACCAAATCCCAAGTGGGGCTGATATTTATAAAATGTACAAGGGGGCTTCAATTAATTCATGGAAATTTTCTATTCTCATTCAATTTGTCCAAGAAGTTTTTGGAGTTCTCCCGCCCTTGTGTTTTCGAAAGCTCTATTCATAGAAGTATTCACTTCAAGCAAAACAAACACATTTTATGATTTGTTTATAGCTGCTTTTTCCTTCATTTAAAAAATGTATTTGTTATTTTTATTGTAAATATAAATAACGGACAATGTGGTTTTTTAACTGCCTTCATTTCTGATTCCAAATGATCACAGGTAGAATGTAAACTTTTAAAGAGACTCAGGAAGGCGAGTCGCTGGATATTGTGAGAGAAATCTGATCCCAGGTGGCTCTCAGGGCTTTGGCGGCTGCCCGGGAGGGCTGGCAAGGCCCTGGAAAGGAGCTGGCATAGGTTCCTGGAGTCATTTGCCTCGTGATATTTTCCCAGAGAAGGTACAGGCACAGAATCCTGGAGTTGTTGGTCTCGCGATGTTTCCCCAGAGAAGGAACAGGCACAGAGTCCTGGATTCGATTGTCTCACGATGTTTTCCCAGGGAAGAAACTGACATACTCTCCTGAAATCGTTGGTCTGGCGATATTTTCCTGGTTCGATATTTGGCGCCTTTCACTGTGTGCAAACGCTTAGAAGTTCCATTTACACATTTTGGAAATGCCGTAGGCTGGAAGGGAGAGATGAAGAAAGTGCAAAATTGCTCTTTTGAGATTGTTGGGAACATAGCAATGTGTTTTGGAATTTGCTAAATGTGTTTTGGGCTTTGCTGTTTGTCTGGTTTCTTGTTTCTATATATTTCCTACATTGTCATCTTTTAGGAAAAGCGTTTTAATGAAGAAGGCTCAGGGAACATGATAGCTGGAAACTGTATCTAGGTTCAACAGTCACTTCATGTTGTTAAGTGCTGTCTGTTGGATCCAACTCATAGCCATGCTGTATAGGGTGTCTGAGGCTGTAAATCTTTGCGGGCGTAGAAAGCAGCATCTTATTCCCATGGAGCAACTCTTGGGCTCGAACCACTGACCACCATATTCCTTAATTGACTCCACTTTTGAGATCTGTGAAATATCTGTAGAAAAAAAGACATTTCATATATACTAGGGTTTCAGATAGCCTACGGAAAAATTCCATTATCTTTTCATTTAGTTTTTCCCCCCACAGTCTTATTGAAGCTCCCTCACAGTTTGATGGGCATGAAGTACTATAATCTTTTTAATTGCAATTATACACAGCAATAATTTCCTTTAAAACTATCAGTTCTAAAGTTTTATCAGCCAACGTTTTATCAGTACTAAAGGATAGCCCTACTTTGATTCTCGTACCTCAGGCATTTTATCAGGAGGGACCAGTTGCTGGAGAAGAATATCATGTTTGGTAAAGTGGAGGGCCAGAGAAAAAAGAGGAGAAGGCCCCCAGCGAGATGCATTGGCAAAGTGGCAGCGACAGATTCAGGCACAGCAATGATTGTGAGATTGGCCCAGGACTGGGCAGTGTTTGGTTCTGTTGTGCATACGGTCACTATTAGTCTCTATTGACTCTATGGCACCTAACAGCAACAACAAAAGATAGATGAAGGGAATGAAAAGCAATATTTAAAATATGGATCTTACACAGAAAATATATAGTTGACTTAACATTTTATAAATAAAGCAGTTAAAGGAGTATTGCTTAAGACAGTTTGTGTCTTTTAAAAAAGAAAAGAAAAAAGTATTCAAGTAAGTAGTTTGTAGTGTTGGAAACACAAATTTAAGGTAAATTGTCAGTTGATAGGATAATTTAATTTCTACAACCATAATAAAATACATACAGTGACTCATCTTAAAGAAAATCCCTTTTTTTCTTTTCCAACATTTTAATTTAGTCAACAAATAGAGTTTGAAATTCACTTTTTATTTGTTTCAAAGCTCTTAGATATAAACTAAAGAAAATCAGATTTTTTTAGGCCTTAGTCCTTACCACTGGAGAAATAAACATCATGATAAATGGAGAAAAGATTAAAGTTGTCAAAGACTTCATTTTGTTCAAATCAACCATCAACACACATGGGAGCAGCAGTCAAGAAACCACACCGCACATTGCACTAGGCAAATCTGCTGCGAAAGACGTATTTAAACTGTTCAAGAGCAGAGATGTCAGATTGAGGACTAAAGTGTTTCTGACCCAAGCCATGATAATTTCAGTAGTCTCATGTGAATGTCAAAGTTGGACAGTGAATAAGGAAGATCATAGCTGAATTGATGCATTTGAGTTATCGTGTTGGAGAAGAATATTAAAAATACTATGTACTACTAGAAGTACAGCCAGAATGCTCTTTGGAAGCCAAGATGGCCAGACTTTGTCTCTCAAACTTTGGACATATTATTGGGAGGGGCCAGTCCCTGGAGAAGGCTATCATGCTGGGTAAAGTGCAAGTAACAGTCAAAGAAATAAAAATGACTGCCTTCGATTTTTCCACAGTAAACATTTCTATATAGTAATACGAATAAGTTTTACCTACACATAGCAACCCCTAAAACCAACATCTTCACACATTAGGAAGTTAATGTGTTGTTGTTATGTGCCATCAAGTTGGTTCCAACTCATAGTGGCCATATGCACAACAGAATGAAAAACTGTGCAGTCATGCTCCATCCTCACAATTTGTTATTAAGCTTGAGCCCATTACTGCTGCCACTGTGCCAGTCCATCTCCTTGGAGATCTTCCTCCTTTTCACTGACCCTCCACTTTATCAAGTATGCTGTCCTTCTCCAGGGACTAGTCCCACCTGATAATATGTCTCAAGTATGAGAGATGAAGTCTGGCCATCGTGGATTCTAAGGAACATTCTTACTTTACTTCTTCCAACAAAGTTTGTTCTTCTGGCACTCCATGGTACTTTTAATATACTTCTTCAGCACTATAATTCAAATGCATCAATTCTTCTATGGTCATTCTTGTTCACTGTCCAGCTTTCACATGCATGTGAGGCTGTTGGAAACACCATGACAATTAATAACTTGATAGGCCTTGTTGTTGTTAGGTGCCATCGAGTATGTATCAACTCATGGTGACCTTATGAACAACAGAACAAAACACTGCCCGATCCTGGGCCAACCTCACTATTGTTGCCATGCTTGAGTCCATTGATGCTGCCACTTTCCCAATCTGTCTCGCTTGGGGGGGGGGTTCCCCTCTTTTTCTGTGACCCTCCACCTTACCAAGCATGATATCTTTCTACAGAGACTGGTCCTCTCCTGACAATGTGTCCTAAGTATGAGAGATGAAGTTTAGCCATCCTGGCCTCCAAGGAGCACTCTGGCTGCACTTCTTCCAACACAGATCTGTTGGTTCTTTTGGCAGTCCATGGCACTTTCAATAGTCTCCTCCAACACCACAACTCAAAAGCATCAATGCTTCTACAGTCTTCCTTATTCACTGTCCAGCTTTCGCATGCATATGAAGTTATTGAAAATACCATGGCTTGGGTCAGGTGCACCTTAGTCCTCAAGCTGACATCATTGCTCTTCAACACTTTAAAAAGGTCTTGTGCAGCAGATTTACCTAATGCAATATGTTGTTTGATTTCTTGACTGCTGCTTCCATGAGTGTTGATAATTGATCCAAGAAGAATGAAGTCCTTGACAACTTCAATCTTTTCTTCGTTGATAAGAATGTTGTTTATTGGTACAGTGGTGAGGATTTTTGTTTGATAGGCGTTAGGATAAAGTTATTATGGCTCCAAATCATGTTCCCCAGCTCTGGGCATGTGACAGACAGGAACTTACTTCTGTTACATTGCCAGGCTCTCAGGAGCAACTGAGCTCCTGCTAACTGAAGCACCAAGACAAGATTTGTGAAGGTGAATAAAATGAAATTTTTTTGAGGAATTTAACAAGCAAGTAGATTTAGATTGTAGTTCTCTCCCTCTCTCTTAACACATTTTATTTTTTAAAATAGTTTTAGATTTACAGAAAAGTGAGAAAATAATACAGAAATCCTGTATCTCCTTTTACAGTTTTCCCTGTTTTTATGATTACATATTACATTAGTCTGGTTCATGTGTTAGATTTATGAATCTAAGCACAACAACAACAAACATGGCCTAGCTCTAGAACGACTATAATAAACAAAACAGACAATGATAAGTG